ACACCGGGGTGGCGCCAGGATTTGCCCGGAGTCCAATGTCCCCGACGAAAAAAAGCGGGCGTGGTCGGGCGTCCCTCAATATCCGTCGAAAGTGTTCCATGGGGCTCATCCTCCCCCTGAAAAAAACCCCCATTTTTGTTTTGGTTTGAAAGGCTTACTTAGTCGATTTTGGTGTCTACTAATATGTAGAATATACATTACATTTTTCTCCCCAACGAATTTTTCTCCCCTTTTCTTCCACCCCCCCCCCGTTGGGGGGGGGGGGGGGGGGGGGGGGGGTGGAAGAAAAGCCAGACCTACCCAACGGGGGCCCTGCCCCCATGCGCTGCCGCCACCCCTGCTAAGTAGAGTATTGTACTATAGTAGGGCCTAGGCCATTGAATTGATTTCATTTTTTCTGTCATGATTAAGGCGTAATCCCTACCGCTAAAATAAGGCTAACTAGGCCTATGTATTATTTCAATCTGTGTAGGCCCCATGAATTGATAATATTCCAGGGATCCTAATTTTTGGAAAGAAAAACACACAGGAACAACTTATTTTTTCTTACATTGGTTGTACCATGAAGGAATTAGTTGCTGTGTGATTACAGACAGAGCCTACACTCTGTCGAGGAAATGAATACAAAACATAGGCCTAGCTGAAGTTATGCATGACGTCAGCATACGAAGTCACGCCCCCTCGGCTGAACCCGCTGTATTTAGCAACTACCTAAAATTTTTACAAGAGGCGCTCAGTCCCTCGCAATCAGGGGAGGCGCAAGAGAAGGGGATGGGGGAGGGTATAGCCCACCCACCAAGAAAGCATAGCGCCCCCCCCCCCCGGTCGGGGAAGACGAGTAAGTTGTCGGGGAATAAACAAATAAAAAAAATTATTCACTTCATTAAACTATTTTTGTTAACTTTTCATCACAATAATAATAATATTTTGGTTTTGGAAGCTGATTTCGACATTAGAAAACATATTCTATACATTAAGTCATATTATAGTAGCTCGATGCCTATCAAATAAATAATAAAAATTTGCAATAATTCGTCAAAAATATATCCGTGGCTTCCAGGGGGCTTCGCCACCTGCACCCCAACCGGGGGCCCTAAGCGGCCCTCTGGCCCCCAGCCAGCTCAGACTTCGCTCTACTATTCCCCTCGTCGGGGCCTTTAGCCCCTCCGCCGGGCAGGTCATGGCGCCATCACTGCTCGCGATGCACAAAGCAGCTAATCATTCCTATTTTTATCATTTAATAGGCCTATTGTAAAATAACAATTTTAACAATATTTATATGTGTATGTATATATGTGTATGTGTGTATATATGTGTGTGTGTATATGTATATGTATATATGTGTGTATGTGAATATATATATATATATGTGTGTGCATGTGTATGTACATATGTGTGTGTATGTGTATATGTATATGTGTGTATACATATATGTATACAGTACATTTGTATTTGTGTGTTTGTATATTTATTAATTTTATATGCATATTCAAACAGTTTTAAGTTGCTTTTTAATGTATTTTTCTAGTTAAGTTGTTTTCTTTTAAGTTATTTGTTATGATTGACGTACCTCCTGAGTGCCGCTGATGTAAATGGTGTCTGTATAGAGTCAATAATTGCTTTGATTTGATTTTGACAATAGGATTTTCCAAAATATTGAACGAGGACATACCAGAAAAACAACACATGGTGGGAATTGATTATTCAAATTACGTTAGTACAGTACAGTGGAAAGTAGGAGAGTAATACTCAGTACAGTGGATCGTATAAACTTCATATATATATATATATATATATATATATATATATATATATATATATATATACACCTATATATAATATATTATATTTTTTTTTTTAATTTTTTCCAACATAAATTATATATTACATGCCCTTTGCACACCCACACCCCCCACCGCTGGCGCCGCCACTGGGTGGCAAGTCGGAAGATGGTTCCCCACGTTATTTGAACTTGTCACCTTCACAGGCAGGAGTGTCCGTTTCTTTCTGGACCCACCTCCTGCAAATACTCTGAGCCACCCCAGTACTAGCGTCGTACTCGAGTAAAAACTATTAGAATTACTATCTAGGCTAAATAAAAGTGCGAGAGGCCTATGTAGCTACGACAAATCTCAACGCTATTATAAGCAACATATGGAGCCTCAATTTTACCTGAACACAGCAAGATTATCCACGAAGGCGTTCAATAACACTGAAGGGCGATTGTATTATAAATAGGCTTAGGCCTCCAGTAGAAGTTCATACGCTAATACCACAGGTATAATAGTATAGAAATATACCGGAAATAATACAATTGCAATTATTCAACTAAGAACCATCACATGATATCAAACGGTGTAAAATGATTGGCTACTGTGTAGTTAGCATTCATCACATGTACCGTTGTGTTTATTGAGTACATGACCGTATGTTATAGCAATACCTGGTACAACAATGTCCATTATGGCGGCGACAGAAATTAAAATATGGGAAGGGAAAGGGAAAGAGAAAATATTTTGGGAGAAGGAGCGATGACGTGCTTCTTTTGAGTTGTAGACGAAGGTGCAATTGTGGATTGTCATGTTCCCGTTCGTTGACGGTGGAAGTGGGGGAAGGGCTGTTAAGGAGACAGTGTGTAGGCCTCTGTGGGCCAGGGTTGCCAGTTAATGCTTTTTTAAAACCGTCAAACACCATCTTACGGCTAAATTCGGCCAAAATTGTTCGGTATGTGCCAAATTTCTGCCAGATTTTGAACGGATTAGTATTAGTAGAGGACCTGATTTGTAGATTTGTATGCACTTAATTTAGGATCGAGAGAATATCTCAACTGATATAGACTAATTGCACCAAAGGAACAACATCGGATGTATGCTCAAATCTGTATCCTGGACGAATAGCCCGAAAATGACCACACCCTTGCTTAAATTGCCTCACTCCCTTTTTCATTGGAAGTGTTATTTTAACATTAGGCTAGACAATATGAACGTATTGCAGAAAAGGTTTTTCCTTTCATAAAAGAACACATATGATGAGGGATCTAATTTCATGCAGAAATCTCACCTTAATCAAGTCCGTTAATATGGAAATTAACTTAAATATGCAACAAAGGGGACACGCCCCTTTTTTTTAAAATTGGAAGTGCTACAGTAATGGAAGTGCTACAGTAATGGTAGGCTAGACAAACTGAACATTGCAAACAAGGGTGTTTCTTAATTTAATGAACACATATGATGAGGGGAGACATTTTTAGAAATCACAATGTGGTCACATATCCTGTTCATATGTAAATTAGCTTAAATACGCAAAAAAATAGGGGTCACCCCCCTTCTTTATTTTATTTACTGCATTTAGCGTAGGCTAAGCCATCTAAATATATAGAAAATAAGGGTTATTGTTTTATAAATGAACACATATGATGAGGGGATAAAATTGTAGAAATTACACTGTGGTCAGATATCCTGTTCATATGCAAATTAGCCTAAATATGCAAAAAAAGTAGGGGTTACGCCCCGTTTTTATTTAAAGCAATACTTTAAATAGTAAGGCTGGCAATCTGAACATATTGCAAACAAGGGTTTTTCTTTTATAAATGAACACATATGATGAGGTGATAACATTTCAGAAATCACACCTGGTCACATGTCCTGATCATATGCAAATTAGCTTAAATGTGCAACAAATATGACCACGCCCCTTTTTTATTTGAAGCACTACTTTTAAATCGTAGGCTAAGCCATCTGAAAATATTGCAAACAAGTTTTTCTTATAAACATAATATGTGAGTGGATAACATTTTAGAAAACACACTGTGGTCACATGTCCTGTTCATAGACAGATTTGCTTAGATATGCCCAAAAATGGTGGCCACGCCTCTTTTTATATTTTAAGTGCTACTTTAAACAGTAGGCTAGATAATCAAAAAATATTGCAAACAATGATTTTTCTTTTGTAAACACATATGATTTCTGAAATTTTATCCCTTCCTCAGATATGTTCATTTATAAAAGAAAAGCCTTGTTTGCAATGTTCAGATTGTATAGCCTACCATTAAAGTAGTGCTTTATTAAAAAAAGGGGGTGTAACAACTATTTTATTTCGCATAATTAAGCTAATTTGCATATGAACAGGATATTTGACCAAAGTGTGATTTCTGCAATTTTATCCTTCATCATATGTGTTCATTTATAAAAACCCTTATTTTCAATATAGGTCTATTAAGATGGCCTAGCTTACGGTTAAATGTAGTGCCTCAAATAAGAAAGGGTCTGGCCCCTATTTTTTGCATGTTTAAGCTAATTTGCATTTTAACAGGACATGTGACCACAGTGTAATTTCGAAAATTTTATCCCCTCATCATATGTGATCATCAAATTAAGAAAAACCCTTGTTTGCTATATGTTCAGTTTGAATTAAATTTTTCCCCATTGGAAACCCTAAAAAAGGCAGCGGTTGTAAGTTCAAAGCACATAAAATAGAAAAGAAGACCATTAATAACGTATGGGGACCAGCTGAGAAATTAAGGGCTAAAGAATATTTTGAAAGTTTGAAAAGAGTAAGAAGCTGGTTAAGGGAATTCGAATTAAGTCAAGCAGTAGGGGGAAAGATGTCAGAGTCAAATTTTTGATAATATTATTTTTAAATATTCAACCCTACCCATTGACCGTTTCCCACATTTCCAAAATGTTTTTTTTTTTAACTCAGAAATGTTTTTTTTTTAAATTTTTTAATTTAATTTTATTTTTTGGTCACGCTGATCAATTTTTATCAAAGTATTTAGGATCTAAGACTACGCTATATAGAGTAACTAAGCTTTTCCATTGGCGGTCATTTAGAACATTCTACTGAGATTGTTTTTTTCATCTACTGTAATTGTATCACCACTTACATTTTGTAAACTTTCGAGAACCTTTGAAGGGGGAGGGGGGCTTTTTGTATACTGAACTCACCTAATTACTGTACTTAACCAAAGTTACTTTTCGGAATTTCTCGCAGACATTTTTTTTGCAAATGCAAACACGCTATTTTGTCTTTCAATAATAACGTTATAAGTATACATATGCCCTCTTACATTTTAATTAATACCGTACACCGAAATGTTCCTTTTAGATCCATTTTTTTTTTCAAATTACGTACACGTAGGTGCTCTTCCTGCTGAAACTCAATTAAAATGGATAAAGCATCGTGTTTCTTTTGGCTTTAATCTGAGTTAGTGAAGGCCCAATCAACCATCTGAAAGTAAATAGCCAATGTCAAAGGTACTGAAATGATGGTAACAGTAACTAAATAAATATCAGGTAAATTTGTAGTTGGTGTCGCCGGATGGGTTTCCGGCACCTGTACGGGTAGATAAATGCACGCGAGGCCATCTTGTTTTACAATCTTCTTAAAAATACCATACTAATTTTATTATTACAACGTAGACATACATCACAATACAACAGCAAGCAGTTGTTGAATTAACAATCGTGACGTGTATGTTAACAATCCCATACCTCTCAGTAAACATTTCCTTGTAAGAACTTCAATATATATATAGTTACTATATTTGGTGAGGTGCAAATCTGTATACGTAAAATCTGTGCTAACATCCTTCTCTAGCTTTTCTGTTAGTGGTAGGTTTCAAAAACCTACCACGTAGGTTAAGTCATATAATTATTTTGCAAAATATTATAGTAGTAGTCAGTAATATTCCTCATTATTGTCAGCACCATCCATTAAACATCATCTCAATATATGGGTAAAAGTAAAGGTAAAGGTAAAAGTAGGAGAAAACCCATAACTTGCAGCGTCATTGTGCTGAATTGGGTATGGGCGTGGTCAGTAACTACATAGCAGCCGTAAAGAGGCGTTTCATGGTCGATACATGTTTACATCATTCCACAACGACAGGGGCTGGAATGAATCATAACATTGGGGTAACCCCCTACTCTTCCGAAAGATGCAATGGGTTCTTAAAAGTGCACACGAGCCAGATGTATACACTGGACCTCCATTTTAAGTCCTTATCAGAGAAGACTTGGTTCTACTAACCGAACCATGGGCAAGGAGCGGCTGGAATCAGTGCCGATGTTAAGGCTGTAGCTAGCGGCGCCCCTGCCTTACCACTCGGCCATTTGACTTGCCTTAATAAATAATAAAGATTGGATTGGATTGGATTTGTTCGGTGTAAACACCAAGGATAGACCACGAAAGTCTAGAAGAAGACTTGTTTCCAGTGGGGATCTACCAACTTCAATCACAGTTTTAAAAAAATGTTAATGGCCTACTTTTAACCAATATATGTATACAAAAAATAAAGTATATATACTGTCTCTTATACACATCTAGATGTGTATAAGAGACAGCATATATATATAGGTTTCAGCCATCTTTAACTGCCAGACGACAACATAGTGTCATTGCACCCGCGTGGGCATAGACACAAAAATCATTGTTTCTTATCTATTGTAATTGTTTATTTTTCATGAAGAAAATAAAGGTTATGTTCATATTTTCACAGTTATTGAAGATGTAAATTTATTCTAAAACATGAATTGATTGTTTACTAAGTCCGCCCCTTGAATATTGTTGCTAAGATTACACAAACATTTGTCATTTGTGTGGGAGAAGTTGCGCGTATCCCAGAACTAAATAACACGTTTCCATTGGTCAGTTAAATTTAAATTTGTTTGGCATTCTCGAAAAGTTCATTTAGTCAAGTGTTTAATCTAATCTCTAATGTTTTGTTTATCAGAATACGCGTACGCTACTGTAAAGCTTTGTCTAGGGGCCTACTATCAAATTTTATGTGACAAAAAAATTTGACGTGTCCATATATGGATACGATGGTGTCATATCAAATTATCAAATTGTATCAAAAAACTTGAACGTGTTCAACTCTTATGTTCCATCGCATTTTATGTGACGCTTTTTTGATGAAAGTTTTCATCATTATAACCATGATACGTTATGATACATTATTATAAGCATATAACATTAAATCTGTGGATCCTATCATTGCGTTTTAACAAAACCGATGAGGAATAAGAAGTTTCAGTTTCATATTTTTTTTTCTTTTGTTCCATTGTGTTTTCACCTTGAAAACAAAGTTGGTTGTTGGAAATGAGATAGAATAATTGACGGTATACAGAAACTACAATAAAAAGATTAAAAACATCTAAGATGTGTATTAATTATATACCGTAGCCTATATACTGAAGTTATAACAATAATATATATACATTATATATATTGTATAAGGACTGTCTGTCACTTTAACAAAACAATAGGCCTAACTAAATAATTATGCACTGAAATATCTTCAGATCAAGCGAAACTGCAAAACTCCAGTTTCATCAGCAACAAGAAGAACTTGCTTATCAGTTGTTATCTTAGTAACACACATCCCACGTGGTCGCAAAAGAACATCTTCCTCTGAAATGCATCCACGAAATATACCGTCTGAATTGTACATCAGCACATAATAATACCTGCGATATGTTTTTGCTTGTACACTAACTATGATGTTGTCATTAGGGTCAACTGTCACACCTCTAACAAATGCTCCCCTGCCATATACAGTCACAGGCACAGGTCTTGCATTACCATTGAGAGGGATAATTTGAAAACGGAAATTTTTACAATCTGTCACGACCCAGCTGTTGTTGCTCTGCATATTAATAAACCACGGGTGAAAAAAATTACCAAAATCTTTACCTTGGCCTACGTAATATTGTTTAAATACACCCGTTTTGTCAAACACACAGATACGGTGATCATCATAGTCCACAACAAGTATGTCACCATTGTCCTTTAATGCAATTCCATTTGGTTTCTTCAATTGGGTTTTGCCGAATCTTTTAAGGAAGTTACCATTCGTATCAGACAAGAATACTTCGTGATTACGAATATCTGTCATGTGCACAACACCTATTTGTGATACTGTTATTCCAAATGGGTCGAAATCATGAGCCATGTTTATAAGCTTAAACGTAAATTCCCGTTGCAGTACACCATCTTTATCAGTGACGACAATGCGATTGTTTCCTTTGTCAGTTACGTAGATTTCATTTTTATACTCAACCACGTCATGGGCTGCTTTGTATTTGACGTTGCCAAATTTTTCAAGTTTCTGGTTGAATGTTGGGGAGATCCTTAAATCATATGGAGAATTACACAATTCCCTTCCATAAATGTAAGCGTGGATCTTATGATCACCAATCATTGTAGGAACGAATACGTACAAGCCGTCTATATTTTGAATATTGCCTTTGGACAAGTCGGGTTGCATAACCCTCAAAACAACATCTTGCAGATTCACTGATATATACACACTTGCATCCACCAATTCGGTATCCCTATTCACCACTATCTTCGATAAAGATACATCTGCAGATGTTCCAAGCATCAACTTGCCAGCGGATATATTTTGGGTATTAAAAGGGTTCTCAATTTCGTATCTGAGGTAAGGATTTTCGACACCAATTGATGTGTTTGATAGAGATTTGATGGTCATTAATTTTTCCCACATTTTCTGTACATTTTCTGGTAGATCTACAGACTCCTTTGAAATCGTATTTATAATAGTTTCTCCTTCTTTGTATTCGTTGTGTAATTCTTTAAATTCAGCCATGTGCTTTTCAATATCGAGGATTTTTTATCAACGGCTGTTGTTATTTCGAATACAGCTTTGTCACAAAATGAGTTCACAGCATCTATACATTGTGCTATAAAGACAGCCAGCATTTCTTTCTCCATATGTTCATTTTCTTTCAGCTGGCCATATGACTCTTGTGCTCGTTGTAGAGAATTTTTCGAGATTTTCTGTTTATGTGATAGCTCTTGGTTGATTGTATCCAGGTTTTGAGTTGCGTGGGATTGATGTTTGTTCAGACATGCTTGGCATACACATTCCAAGCATGTGCTACAGAATGCAACAACTTTATGATTTTATCTTACACATACATGCTTCTCTGATTCTCTGTTTATAACCTCAAGTACACGTTTGAGTTGGTAATTTTTTTGAAGTTTTTTCGCTCCATTTGGAAATGGACCATGATTAGTGTTACACAAAGGGTATATTAGGACGCCCTCCTTTTGCGCAACCCAAACATCTAAACACCTTTCGCAAAATGTATGATGACATGGTAGGATTTTGGTATCCTTTAATATACCAAAATGTATGTGGCACTGGAGTTCATCTTCTAGTTCGTCCGCGAAAGCCGCTGCCATCACGTTACTCTGTAATAGAAACGAACTTTTTTTAGATAAAGTTTTCTATGTAATAGATTTTGATATCTTTTTAAATATTTTATATGTTTATCTTGTATATAGTATTTATTTTATGTGAAACTGGGTGAGTGGGAAACACTGACATTAGTCACAGTGATTAAGTTCGCTTTAGTGTTTCCATCCAGCTCACCCAGTTGATTTTATGTGTTTTGTCTGTTTTAATTGGAAATAAAAGAATAAGAATAAGAATAATAATAAAAGTTGAGTTTTGAGTAAGGCTTTTGTTGACCAACCTACTATCACCGTTGCACTTATGGCAAAAGGCCCCCGCCTTATCTAAATTCGACATTTCATTAATAAACAAATACACTATTCTTTTATTATATAGATTATTTTTTTAAAAATAATAATACAATAATACAAAAGAAATCTATTGGGGCCCCACCGTCAGAAGGTTTCTGGATCCGCCCCTGCGGTGTCATGGGCCCTCAATAATCGCATCACAACTTTCTTGCTCTTTGCGCTGTTTTCAATTCTGTCAGCCTCAGTGATCAGCTGTTATGTGCATCGCGAGTGAGTGACAATTGGAGGCATAGAAGATTCAATGTAACGCCTCCTTGATCTTATGAGGTAGTTTCCTGCCGCAGTTTGCAGGATTTATGCGATTTATCCATGATGGGTCGAGTGCCGCGACAGTCTTACTGAGTAGTAGACCTCTAATAATGAAGAGTATGGTTGAACACCCACAGTTGAAACCCTTTTTATTACAACAGAACATGTCTAAAATAAGCAATAATATTAGGCTATTATCTACAAAATTATCAATACTGTAGGGCCTTTTTTTAAAGAGTGTGTTGTCTCTCGCGCATACATTGTATATACTATACCAACATAAAAACTTGCGGGACATCTGGCTGGACCAACTTTACGTGTAAATTCAAATAATGTGGACCCATTTTCTTAAAAGTTGACTTATTTTACCCCCCCCCCCCAAAAAAAAGAAGAATGTGGAGTAATTTTTTTTTTTGGTGGGGAGGGGCCGAAAAACCGAAATGTCAGCGCGACCAACCGAAAAACCACATTGGTGACGCAGTAAGCCACCGAGTTTTTAAATTATAATCACAAGTATTTATAAAACTTGTAGGCCTATATGACCTTGACTTCGTAGTACCATACACAAACGCAATAAAAAAAAATCACAATATACGTTTATTTGGGACTAAATGCAACGCAGTAAGCCACCGAGTTTTAAAATTATAATCATAAGTATTTTGTAAAACTTGTATATGACCTTGACCTTGTAATACCATACAGGAGCGCAATAAAACAAAATCTCCAAATATACGTTTATTTGGGACTAAATACAAGGCAGTAAGCCACCAAGTTTTAAAATTTTAATCACAAGTATTTGTAAAACTTGTATATGACCTTGACCTTGTATTACCATACACGAGCGCAACAAAACCTCACAACATACTGGTAGATTTATTTAGGACTAAATACAACGCAGTAAGTTACCCAGTTTTAAAATTCTAATTCTAATAATAGTTGAATGAAACAAGTTATTACAAAGTGCGACAGACTTTATTAGAAAGTGCGACAGCTTTGCGTATTACAAAGTGTGTGACAGGCAGTCATTACAAAGTGCACGAAGGCGTTCCTCAACACTGAACGGCGATTAAATTATAAACAATAGACTTAAAGATGTACTGTCTCTTGCAAAAAAAATCAAAAAAAAAAAAAATCATGAAAATCATTTTTGAAATTTACTTGCCCATTTTGAAGTAACATAAAAATTATCAACTTTAACATAGAAATTATTGTATTTAAAAATGCTTACCCATAAAAACGATTATTTTACAGCGAAACAATGATAGAAACACTTCCAGTCACTGGAAGTGTTTTTATTATAGTTATCCAGGGAACACATTTTTTTAAATAAATGATTTCTATGCTCAAGTTAATAATTTGTATGTTACTGCAAAATGAGTAAGTTAATTTGAAAATTATTTTTTATGATTTTGGTAATTTTCAAGGGACAGTACATCCTTAATAAGCCTCCAGTAGAAGTTCATACGCTAATACCACAGGTATAAATAATATAGAAATATATGTATATCGTCAAAATTATTTGACGAAGAACCATTACATGATATCAAACGGTGTAAAATGATTGGCACTCTCTATTAGCATACATTACATACCGTTGTGTTTATCGATTAACATTACCGTATTTTATAGCATTACCGAAAGGTCCACTGATTAATGTCAGATAAGATCGTATAATACCTACTCCAAGTATCGAAATGAACGCCATCGATGATGACATAATTAATGTTGAAATATTGAATCCCGACACGATGACGTGCATATCGATACTTGGAGTGTGTATTATACTACCGGTATCTTACAGGATTACCTGGTACAACAATAAGTTCATTATGGCGGCGACAGAAATTAAAATATTGGGAGGAAAAGAGAAAGAAAAACTTTTTTAGGAGGGGGAGTGATGACGTGCTTTTCTCGAGTTGTAAATGGAGTTAAAATCCGTGATTAGCTCGTAATTAGAGTGAAAATAACATTTATTAGGTTAAATAAATTGGTGCGCCAGATACAAAGCTATGACAACTTTAATAAATAATTTAATTTAATAAAACGCGTTATTTTTGTGGTACTTAAAACAATTAATCAATGTCGCTATCGAATTATTTTAATGATACAGAGATTTCGAGTTAAAATGAGTCCTGCAGAGTAACTTCGAATAAGTTTCTCTCTCTTTCCTTGAAATTGGAGGTGCAATCGGATCTGGATAATCGCATCGAACATTTATATGGCGCTCTCAGGAAACACAGCGCCTAACAGTTCAAGTGGGATATAATAAATTTAATAAACTATTTGATATTTATTTTATTGTATTCAATCAGGTGTGGCGCCAGGATTTGCCCGACGGGGTCCGAGGTCCCCGATCGGGGAATGGGGGCGATGACCCAAACAAGAGCAAAGTAGGCGTGGTCAGGTGTCGCTTAAAATATTTCAGCCGCTGAGGGGTGGGAGTGGGGTGGGTTAGGGGACGAGTGCCTTTTTTGCCACCCTGGCCTGCTATGGGGTACCATATGCAGCAGAAATCCATGTTAAAATCAAAAGTAATTGCAAAATTTGACGTCTAATTTATTAAAACGTAGGCGTAAATTTCTCAAAATGTAGATCTAGTTTCCTAAAATGAAGTTCTAATTTTTCAAAACGTAGTTCAAATTTTCCAAAATGTAGTTCTAATTTCTTTAAAATGAAATTCAAATTCAAAACGTAAGTCTGACTAGAGTTCAGGTCTGACATGATCAAACGCACTCTCCAAATTCCGAAATGTGCTAATACTACGAAAAATCAATAAATTAGAGACTTGTGGAAAGTTCAGCTTGGCTGTAGGCGATTTTTTTCCCGTACGAAACATTTGCATGAAACTCCACTCAAAATCTCAATTCTGGAGGTCAAAAGGTCATCAACCAAAGATACTGTAAACGTCTACAAAACCTCTGAGATACAGCATTGTCGCTCGCTGTCTGATTTTGAAGAACACATTGACGTTGAGATAGTATTATACATACTCCTAGTATCGAAATGCACGCCATCGTGTCGGGATTCACTATTTCGACATTAATTATGTCATCATGAATGAAAAATTATCTATATTTGCAAGCTTATATGCACAAGTACCAAAAGTGTTTGACCAATCAAAACATTTAGTAGATGACATATTTATGAATTAAGATCAAAGCATCCTTACCCTCTGATCAAAGTTACCTACAAAAACAAAGAAAGCTCATTTGAAACTTTCAGCCCATTGTTAAGCAATTGACGTTGCCATGCTAATAACTAATGGGTCGTTTAAAATGACAAATGTAATATTTAATTTAGCTGCATTGTTATTTGAACTTGTCATGTACAATGTGATCACTTACTCAAAAAAGTTTTAGAAGGCGGCTTTCAGAGGAAAGCACAAAGAGGAAGGAAAAGAACAGCATTTAATTGGTCATGAAACAGGGTGACAGTTATTTTGACATTAAAAGAAAAGCTGAGAATAGACAGCTCTAAAATAGGGATGACATCTTCATAGGACCTGCCAAAATAGTAGAGCACCAATGAATGAATGAAGCCTAGTTGTTAATTATAGACCTAGCAAATAGTATTGTACTGTAGGTGCTTCTTGATTACAAGGCTTAAGCCAAGTGAATTAATGGCGAAATTATATATTTTTATTTAATTACTATTATTTTTATTATTATTTATTTTTATTATTATTTATTATTATTAATCGTTATTAATATTATTATTATTATTATTATTATTATTATTATTATTATTATTATTATTATTATTATTATTATTATTATTTAATATTAATTACATTACAAGGTTTAGGCCAAGTTCATAAATGCCGGAATAATATATTTAATTTTATTATTTAATATTTTTCTTACCCACTGTTCCATTTTAATTTCGTGTTTCAAATGTGTTTAAATTTTTTTTCAAAATTTCACTCAATGTCATGTGAAGCGTGACTGTTGTGTCAGGCCCTGGACCCTAGCTTAGCTAGGGGCATATAGTCTAGGAAGGGCCTATAGGTAGGACTTAACTAGGTTAGCCTCTTTTGCTCTAGCCTTAATTGATAGTACCTATACTACTGGTGGTGGTGGTACTAGCTGTTGTTGTTGTAGGTAGTATTACATTTGATAACAAACCAAGAAGCTCACAGTTTTACAGACGTACATCACATAAATCGGTAAGATTTAATAGGCCTACCGTAGCTAAACAAAGAACAATACAGTAATAGAGAATACTCGAGCGTAACGACATTGTGAAGTGCCTGCCTGCTCGAGTCGAGTCAATCCGAGACGGCCCGAGTGGAGTTTCATGCAAATGTTTTGTACGGAAAAAAAATCGCTGGCTGTACAGCCTGGGTTCCAGGCCCTAATTTTGGGTTACTCACTCTATATTGCACTTAGTGCGCGCCATACCTAATTTAATTGGCGTCCCATACTAGATTTACTTTTTCTCGTTGGTGACGCTGTCCAGAATGAGAAAAATAACAAAAAATAAGACATGTGGTAAGTCCATAGAGATATAATAAGAATACTAGAGCGCTAACTGCAATGTATTCGATGTTCTAAATACGCAGAGCTGTGTGTGTGTGTGTGTGTACCATCCAAGATGACTGCCATAAATTTTAGGCCAATCAAATTTCGCCTAAGCACCACTATTTGCAGTTGAGCCCTCAATTTACACAGAAAGTTCAGTACATGGTTCAGTATAGCTAGTTACCCGTATGTTTGAAACTCGAGCGTTGCGGTGTATGAGTGTAATGTACACGATTTTAATTTTCATTCCTTGGCACTTTATTTTTGAATAAGATTAAGATGCTTGGCCTCGTTTTGGCTACGATAGTTTAATAATTTGTTATTACCATATACATACTCATTATCATTAATGAAATAATAGTCAGTCAGAGGGCTTATTTATGGTAATAATATGTATACTAAACCTGAGGGTGGCGCTTTACTACGACGGCCATCTTGAATGGTACACATACATAACTCTGCAAAGCTTCGCCATCTTGTCAGCACTCTAGTTGTTTAATCTCTATAGGCAAGTCTAGCTTGGCTGGTTTTGATTTACGTTTTGGAACAGAATTTGGAGAGGGCGTTTGATCAAGTCAGACCTGAAATCTAGTCAGACCTACGTTTTGAATTTGAATTACATTTTAAAGAAACTACATTTTGGAAAATTTGAACTACGTTTTGAAAAATTAGAACATTATTTTGGGAAACTAGATCTCATTTTGAGAAATTTACGCCTACGTTCTGATAAATTAGACATTGAATGTTGCAATTACATTTTGATTTTAACATGGACTTTTGCTGCGTATGGCACCCCATAGCCTGGATCCGCCACTGGCAAGATAAAGTTATTTAAAACGTTTAGTTTGAACTATAACCAAGCATATTTTAAAATTTGAATAAAATTCACAAAATTAAATTGAATTTTAAGACATGTCATAGAATTAGGCACGGAATCTAAATTTAGTGCTCAAAGGGTTATAAATGCAGAGTAATAACAGTAGGCAGCCGTAACGCTACAACAACCAATCGGGCCTATTAGAAGTTACAGTTTCAAGTTTACGGAAATTTCAGTATATCATTGGATGTATGGATTTATTCGGTGTAAACACCAAGGATAGCCCACGAATGTCTAGAAGAAGACTTATTTCCAATGGGGTCCTTCTGGTGGTGATTGGGCAGTACACCGGGAGACAATCCCCTACTTTTTTTTTCCCGAAGAGTGTACTGCGTTCTTTAACGTGCACATGGGCCATAATGCACACGGGACCAACGGCTTAAGCGTGTCATCCGAAAGACGGTGCGCTATTGTAACTTGTATTTCAGCCCTCTAACTAAAACACAAGGAGAGGCAGCAATGGAATTGAACCGGGGACCTAGAGATCTCCACGGTTCAGCGCACACACAGCGGCTACCACCAGATTAGCCGACTGAGCTAAGCTGCTCTCTCTCATTAGGTTGCAAAGCTACTGCACATTAGGCCTGAACAAATTGTTGGCCGTTTGGTTGGCCGTCATCACCCGCCCCTAACTCAATAAAAAAAAAAGGGGGGGGGGGCGGCTAAATAAACAAAAGTTAAACAAAGTTTTTATTATTTTTTTTCCTTTACAAATTAAAAAAAAAATGTGTGCGATTTGATCCTTATTTTTTACCAGATGCCCTTCAAATTTGTCTAAAGTCTAATGTAAGATATTGCCAATCTAGCCCTACATTCATTGGAAAATGTTGACTGTGGGTTAATGTTACTCCATCAGATGAGTTGGGCTTTTTATCATTTAAAAAATAGAAGGGCAAACAAACAATTTATTTTTTGGGCCTTATGTGAGTTAGGTCATGTGCCAACATTTCTGTCTGGAAATCAAACTGTGTATGCATCTATCGAAAAATAACGTTACATGATATCCATTGATGGAAAATATTGGTTACGGTACCCTCTAATTTTCATTTATAGCACCGTTTGTTATTGTTGTTCTTTACAGTACTATAGCATGCCTTGGGGGTAATTGTAAATGGTTTTTTCACATTTATATGTTGTAGCTTGCTTTTCAATCAGTGGGTTCTGGATCACTGTTGTCAAGCAGTGTCTAATGATTGGAGTAAAGCTTTTGACAGGATTAGTCACTCTATAATTCTTTTTAAGATAATGCATAACTAGTCTCTATCTAAGCAACATGTCTCAAAATGTAGTTTTTAGAGGTGAATCATCTCGGTCATGTCCTGTTCTTTCAGCAAAGGCGGCGGAAGCGGGGGAGGGCAGGGAGCCATTGGCCCACCCACTTTTTCCACTGGGGGGACCTACCCCCCCACTTTTGTGACTGTTTCCAGCACCAGTGACAAACATTTTACGAACGCTGCATATTATTGTTGTTGTTGTTGTTATTTGGTGCTTAGACACCTTGTTTATTTTCGTCTTATAAATTGATCTATTATTACCATTATAAAATATAGATTTTTAAAAAATTTCTAAAGAGTATTACAAGTTCCCTTTTTGAGTTGAGCAACCAAATGTTGATTAACGTCTGTATACACGCGTCTTTAAAGTTCCTTTAAACCCACCCTCAAGCATGAAAAAAAAATCACCTGCCTTCGTGAATTCTGTATTTAGGAATATGGGGGGAGGTAGGCACTCTTAATGGAGCGACGCTCTAGTTTTCTTTATGCTAACCACGGGCCCCCAACTTCCTAATTTTTAAAAAATTATAAAAAAGAAATTGGAGAAAACAGACAAAATTATATTAAATTTTTAATCTGAGAGTGCCATTTCCGGCCATCTGGAGGTGCCATAATCATATTTTTCTTACCTCAGCCCCAACAGTTACCCGGATGATGTGAGTGGACATTTTATTTGCGCAAAACCCTCACTGGGTCCCCTCTATCGACTTCCTGGACCCGCCACAGTTGGAGTATCATTTCTGGGCTACATAGAAGGGTAATGTTTATCCATCGGAGGGAAATTCATTGAGATCGTAGAAGCAATCTCGACTTTGACTTTGTTCGGAAATCTGTGACGCATTCAAGGGCGGGGGGAGGCTAAATTGTTCAATTTTTTTTAATGGAGATATAGGCCAAGTTATATTCAAATTTTAAGAATGAGAGTGGAATTTCCTGCCATCTAGAGGTGCCATAATCAGTATAGATATTCTATCTATGAATGTACCCTCCCTGGGCCTATTTCGAATTCCTGGATCCGCCACTTAAAATTAAAACAAAATATGAAGTCATAATTACAGTAGCTTGATGCCTATAAAATAACTTATAAAATTCACAAAACCTCGTAAAATATCCGTAGCTTCCAGGGATCATCGCCCCTGCACCCCCACTCGCTCCCAGCCTAGATGCTCGCTTCGCTCGCATATTGGACATTATGAAAACCAGCCACTTTCAATAACGTTCCGCCGCAGGTGTCTTTCAGGCGTGCCCCAGGGCTCAGTCTTCGTCCTACCTTATTTAATTTGTTCTTGACCTCCCAGAGGTTGTATCTTCCAATATTTACCAATATGCAGATATGACACTGTATATATATAGAAATATAAGAAACAACAATAATAATTCAATACTCCAGCAAGACCTGGATATTATTTATAACTGGAGCTTGATGAACCAGATGGACCACTAAATGCAAAACAATGAGAATCACCAGGTCAATAGACTTGTTAACTCTCCTCGTACATATCGGATTGGACAAACATACCTTAAGCTTGGTTCCCACTTGCAGAAAACCTGCCGCAACGCAATGTACGCAACGCAGCGTATGGAAATGCTCTTCCAGCAATTTCGTATTCCCCCTCTTTACGGAAAGTTGAGTTTGCACTTCTTACGTGACGCAACGTAACAAAAGGGATACGGTTCCCACTTGCCGCCCCGCAAACGCAATGATTTTCACGGGAACCTTTTAAAAACCGTTATGAAATTATCATTTGTCGTATGGCAACCAATGTATTGTAGGGTAGGGAATTGTTTTGTGTTCTGGGCATTACTTTTCGCAGGCCTGGCTTGGTTAGCCCTGTACAAATAGTGCTTCAAATTTACTTGATTTTTTCTTTTTAGCTTAACTGTAATTATAGGCCTCACCTTAGGAGAAAATACAATAATCATTAAAAATCAACAATTATATATAGATTAGGCCTAGGTCCAATAAATAAATATACAGTTTACATTTATTGAATTATTAATATAAACATCATCAAAATACTTCGCCAGGCCTCATTTAACTAGGTAATGTTTTAGTTTATTAATTTGGCATATCAAAATAAATATTTACAACTTGTATGAAATTTTCATGTTTGTAAATCTAGGATTTAAATTTTGTTTATGCAGATCTGAATAACAAGTAGGCATAATATTTTTCCATAACATAATTTAATACTGATACATTAAAGCCCCATTCCCGGCAAAATTTCACTAAAAATGACTTTTTTTAGAAAATATGCATTTGCATTACTCCAATTATTATAAATCATGGAAAAATATTGGCATGAATTTTAGTTTTACGCAAAAGAATATAAAAAATGAGAAATACAGACTATTTCTCATAAAATATTACCATTTTCTCGACGAATTCATCGTTACTAGGCAAATTCAGAGGTTGTAGATCGCATCCACTGGAATACTCTCGCTTTT